GAAGAGTGGGAGGAAATAAGGAAGTCTTACGCGATAGCATGAAGAAAAACATGACAAAGCGATATACCTGTAGCATTATAACGCACCAATGAATTTTCGGTCGGAATATATAGGTCATATATATATATTCATCCAGCGTAAACACAAAAGCTACATGTAATGTACCTGTTAGTTGTGATTTTCCATTTAACAATATAACTACAACAATATAATATAACACACGTTACACATAACTTTACGTTTGCTGCTGGGAATATGTACATTATGTATATGCAATATTTTTTAACAGAATCTGTATGGAATTTTAATTAGACATCGAGCCACGTTTAAACTCATCCACTTAAAAAAATATATGCATACATACTTATATATCTCTTAGTATATACATAAATATAAATGATATATATATATATATATATACATATATATCATTATATATGTGTATTATATATATAAAATATAACATTTAATGCGATCGAATATATCGAATCAAAATTTTAAAGTTAATGGGCGTGGAAAGAGACATTCGTTCTCGTGTTCGTTGCTATGTGAGTTTACACGTGGCGTTTACACGTGAGCAAAATATCGCGACAAAAATGACTCATATGCCAATTAAGTTAATTTCATGTCTCTCGGCATGCATATATATGCGTGAAAGTACGTGTGTAGTTGATGACTGTCGGATACGCGCATGCTCCAATCTTTTTTGTTTGAAATTCACATGTTGCAAAAGTTTATGAGAAATTTATTGTAGATAAAAAAAAGAGTCCAGTTTTCCGTAAAATAAGTGATTGCTTATTCTGTGTAATTTATTCCTGTAAATAAGAGAATGCGAATTGAATTAACGACGTATTTTAATCAAAAATGATAAACGCATTGTCGCAAAAACATTTAGCGATATAAAGATTTTATTAAAAATACATACGCTTCTTTATAACGCGATGCGAAATATCGCATGTAGCAAAAATAATTTACCATCCTTCTATGCAAGGAAAAATAATGTATTCTCGTACAATATATCAAATCAATTATCAAATGCACACAGTTTCGCATCCTAATTCTGCTCGGTTATCATCCATATGAAGGCTGCTTCCAGTGCGTTTGATGTTCGCATGGCACTCTACATAGTCTGGTAACAATTCTTGATCGATTTAGCCAAGTAGGACGACAAGAGGATTCCTATCAGCTGCAACATTAATTATTCCATTCTTGTATTAATAAAACGTGAATATTACTCATTTATCAGACTTCGAAAACGCTATGAGGTAAAGTTTGAAAAATTTAACATAATGATGCTGATGAAGATACCTGAATTATACCAAGGCCTATTCCAACACCTGCTATCTTAGCTGCGTGTGTTTCTGCAAATTTCGCGAAGGCATCTATGCAGCCAACCTCATGCAAATTCTCCGATGATAGGGTGCAGTTCGACATGCCGATAGCACCTATCGTATCATCACAGCACGACATCGGAATACCTGACAATTTCGCTGTATTCGTCCAATCGGTGGCATTGATTGTGCCACAACAATGGAACTGTAAAAAAAAAAAAAAACGAAATTTCATGACTAATATGCTGAAACACGTATCTACATCACGCAAATACAGAGATGTAGAGTCGTAATGATTTCGTGCATATTTAATATTTCATGGTATGCTTGTATACATACACATCCTTTGTATATTGATATCTATTATATAATAGCTAAATTATATATAATTAACAATATATATTATACAAATATAATACAATTGTTTATACTAAAAAAAATTATTTACCTTAATAGATATTTCTTTAAATAATAAAAAATAAATATAAATATTTAAACTAAAAATAATAATAATTAAATTAAAAATAAATATCTTCTTACAATAAATATTTACTCAATAAAAAGATGAATAATGATC